CGCACCACGGCATAAGCTCACTTGGCACTTCGTGCCAGGTGAGCTAATAATAATGCATGTAAAGTTGCTTTCCCTGGTATACTAACCATGCTACCTAGGGCCTGCTCATTTATGCAGGCCTTGAAAGGCTTTGTCAAGGCTTGCCTGAAGACAGCATCTGATTACTAGGCCCAACTTTATTGCTTAGACATACAACTGTGGTCCAACCAGTTCAACTGTTTGGATTGTGATAAACGAAAACAGCCCTATACTTGGAAACACAATTTCATTCACTCAAAGCTGACCAAGATTTTAAAGGTCATAGTGACCGACATATGTTGTCCAGTACTCAAGAAATATCCACACATGAAGCAAAAAGCAATTTTACCCAAGATGTCGTAGGGAACAAACCAACCTCTTAATGCCTCCCCGCCACTAATGGTGGGGAGGAATATATACCAAGATCATGTTCATGAAATATAGCTGAGGCACGGTATACCATGCATAAAGAAAGCAAAACATTACCTGCATCAATAAATATTTATTGAAGAGTAAACTTCTGTACAGTACAACAACAGTACAATGATTATGAAACTTAACCTGAACAGTTGTATTATGGATCCCAAACACAAATTAAATCATTCGTGAATTTTCATCATGACAACTTGTAAAATTTTCGTTAATTAACAGTTTTGCAAAATACATTTCCCAATTATAAGAGACAGGCTTAAACATTGCAAGTTTTCTACACATGGACACATAGAAAGTAGAAGCATAAATTCACAGCTGGCAGTGCAGCAACACATCGCGAGGTCTTAATGGGAGTACACATCAAAGATGGAGATTGATTTCAATCTGAAAAACATAGCACACAGGTTGATATTAATAATGTAATTAACATCTTGAAACAAGGAAATGAAGTACCATTACATATTTCTTGTGTTAAAATTCTGCTCCAAATTAAATATCAACTTGTTCAATCTAGAAATTATATATTTATCTGTATAATGGTTGAAATAATTGGAAATATATGCACATAACTTGTTAAGTACAGTGTACATGAAAGATCTATTAACTTTTTCCAAAATAAATTTCTTTTAAATCAATGCATGGTTGTATAGATCAGACAGAGGATGGGTAATTAATCATGTAAACAAACATCGTATTTATTTCTGAGGTCAATAAAACCATGCATTAATCACAACAATGAAAATTAAAACACACTTTTTGCATATTGTACTTAATAAAAAATCTAAAGTCTATCGTTTCTTGCCAACTGTTGCTTTAAAACTTTTCTTGAATTACATCCAATCAATACTGTATAGCAAGCTTTATAAACAAAAACAAGATAACCTAATAGATCAATCATATTTATTCAGCAATAAGCCAAGAATTATCTTGAACTCAAGTAGCGGATGGGCTTATTTCGTGATAAATATAATATGACCACAATTGTTACAGATTAAGTACCTTTTCTGAATACAATGAGTACAAAATCCACTGAAACATACTGCATTTTCATCTTTATGAAACGTACATTGTATATATATACGTTACGTTGGTTCAAAATTGAAATTTCCCATCAATTATATATTATATATGAAGGAGATCAAGCAAGGCTGATTTGACTTGTTGAAAAATATTAAACACTGACTGGTAGCACAGGGGATAAGCTCCCTGAAGGTTTCAAGTCCACCTAGTAGAGATGTTTTATAAAGAAGGACATTATAATGAATATATACTTTTTGTATTTAATCTTTAATTTAAAATGGGTAAGCGAATCAAAAGTGAGAAAAATGTCGGAACAATTTCTTACTCTTCTACAATACTGAACAGCAGAACTCTCTACCCTAAAACCCTTAAAATAAGTCATTATAAGTACAAATGCAAAGCTAAGTTCATGTTTTGGTGACATGCAGGGTTTTTTCAGAAGATGTTCTTCATTTCCCATATTATGTGTTGACAGATCTTTTACTGATGTACACTTAAGAGAAAAATTATTATGAGCACAGATCAACATTGTTTTGGTGAATATTTGAGATTCTCTTCAACATATTGTAAATATATAATATAAACACATTTGCTTGGTTTACATAGTGGCATTGCAGTGCATATGTAAATAAAAACACATTATCCAAAAAATTCCTTCAGGTACAGTAATGACTCATTTATAATGCCTAACGGTTGGCCACTTTGTCCATAACCAATATCTGTCAATGTATCGTTTTTCAGTACTTTCAGTACTTTGATTTATTTAACTTGCTAGTTCATATATATCTATCACCCTCAATATATGATCAGGCATGTGTATAAAGACGAATTTTTGTTGAAACAGACAATGGCAGTATAATGAGAAGTTACTGTACTTGAATTGAAATTGATCCTATACATTATTTGTACTTCATTATCAGTTGATTAGATACACCTTTAATATTGAATAAATGGAAGGAATTCTCTAATTAATGCATAAGCACGAGTTTTAATTGTCCATGGGTATTTCAGATCCATTTAAACATTAACCCTGTTACACATCTACACCAAGTGCTCTTGTGAAGAAAGTTGGTCCTCACTGGATAACGAAATGCTTGCGACAAACCCTACCACATTGTCAAGCAAGCCTAAAACTACTACTATTGGTACACAATATGTTAAAATAATGAGTATTGGGGGTTATATAGATCATAATGCTATCATACTTGCATATGATGAAAATATTTAAAGTGAAATCACAACCACTGTACAATCAAACTCATAGCACCGGACAGAAACTGGAGGACTCGTGGGGGAAAATACTTACCACATAAACTGCACAGGGGCTTTACATGCGAGACAACCTACTTGCCACACGAACTACACAGGGGCCTGATGTAGGTAACCACTTACATGGACAACACAAGTCCTTGATGTTCTTTCATATTTACTTGCCACACGAACTACACAGGGGCCTGATGTAGGTAACCACTTACTTGGACAACACAAGTCCTTGATGTTCTTTCATATTTACCTGCCACATAAACTTTACAGGAGCTGAATGTTGAAATACATTTCTGTATCTCATACATCACATGTCCACCACTTCTATGCCACATAAACTATATTAAATATGAACTCGCAGGACACAAATCAGGTTATCAGATCTCAAAATCTCGACATGTTTCCATCATTACATAATCGGAAACCTAATTGTTAAACAACATGATTTTGGACGGAAATTATGTTCTTCTATCTAATCCGAAATATTTTGCTGTTGTATTCTGATCAAAATAAATTACTCCTAACCAAAAATAAAATATCATTCAATTAATCAATTCCAATTTTAACTGAATGAACTACATTGTATGTATCAGGCAATTTTCTTTTCTTGTTGTTGACCAATTCCTCAAGTCAATTCAATAATAGCACTTTTAATTTCTTTTTGGTCTTTTGTTTTACCGGAAAAAAGCTTTGGTCAAATATTTTTGGCATATTTTGATTCTTTGATTAACCTTGAAGTGCTCTATGGAATGAATATCTTTACAAAAAAATAAAGAATTTATAAATGTTTTTTGCAAAATATGTTGATGTAGATTCAATCATAAAAGGAAAAAAATGAATAACAGTCATTTATAATATCATACTTATATCACAATTCCATTCACTTTTCACATAAAAATAGGTCTCACAATTACAGTTAAGAAATTAAAAAGCTACAGCTAGTTACCATTTATATACCTTACAAATCGAAAAACAGAAATCGGCCATTTTCATCTCCGTCTCTGGGTGTTTGGTCTTGTGGTACATGGTTTATACATTTTTTTTACCACTTCAAATTTATTATTATAACATTTTCTTGTATATATAACGATGAAATCTCATTATTTCTTGTCAATTCAGATAATGTTTACTGTTGTATGGGAGATTCTTTTCAGGATATCTTATTTCGGATGAACTTGGTTGTTACATGTAGATAAAACCATGTTTTATAATAAATTTATTTAAATAGTACAGGACAATAAATTGAAACTCATCATTTTTTTATATGAAATAATTTTACAAACAATATTTATTTTTATTTGAAGACATGAGAAGTATGTGTGCATGTAGGCTTTGTGTCAGACAAAATGGGGCGAACTAATATAATGGCATAGATATGGAATACAACAACAGACTTCAACAGCTGTAACAAGGCACAAGACTGTTGAATTAAAAACTGAAATCACAGACATTATATACAACCATGATATGTACGCTATTCTAATTATATAATAAATATATCTATACCGGGAATATAAGAGCACTGATTATAAGTAACAAATGAAAATGAAGTGTTGAACAACATTTTTCACTACAAGATCTTTGGGAATTTATTGAATTTAAATATTTTATTCATTACATTTAGCATACATCTGACTTTTATTTATTTTTCATCTACTTCTGGTTTTAACTACACCGTACTGGTGAATTAAATCCTTAACATCTCTCATTGATTTTCATTTAATAAAAACTTGCAGCTTTATTGATACACAGACTATGGTGTGCCAGTCTGTGCTGCACTACGTATACACTAAGCTGTGTATCAGGAAATGTTTGGCCTGTTAAATGTTTGCCCTTCACCTGTAAAATCCCCTTTCGCCAGTTATTTCACCCAACACTGCCAGCAGTGGAAATTACCAGGTAACCAGCGTTATACAGGTGAATGTTTGCGTTATTATAAATTTGCCCTCGGATCAGAAGACGACAATGGCAGAGGTTAAACTATGGCAACAAACATTCCCCGGTGCAAATTGATAGCTGATTATGGATGTGGCGTTGTTAAAAACTAAACATGACAGACCAGATATGCCACAATATACTGACACCTCATTCGTAAAACAAAATCATAGCCAGGACTGTTATGTACAGATAATTATTTCAGTCCTGAATTACAGTTATATTGCACTTTGTATAAATTCTTCTGATAAGTGAAAATCTTTGTCTATTCGTATATCCTCCTCTTCTCTTGAAAATCAATGCTTATACAACATTGCAATAAATTATTTAATCCTTTTTTCAGATCATGAATGGAAATCTGTTAAACTTTGATAAGCCATGTTGATTTTTGCTGTGTATAGGTTTAGTTATTCTAATTTCCTTTAATAACCACCTTGTTCAAGAATTAGCACATATATACCACACTACATACTAAGTTATCACTCAATTGGTATTCTTATGAAAAAGATATCTGAAATGCAAATTCTTACAATAATGATATGGTAGACCAAACTCTTTAAGTAGAAATTATGAAAATTAAATTGTCATGCACATTCTGTAAACATTTTTAGTCATCATACAGCTGTATGATGGTCAGTGGCAAAAATAATTGTAAGATACAGTAAACACGGAATTCGGGAACAGACTGAGACAATGATCAAAACCTCTGTCAGATCGTAGTGTAGTACTATCATGCCAACATATAAAAACTGCCATGAAACAGTGCAAGGGGAAAATAAGTAGATTTTACAACATTTATATCACAGCTGTGTCAAGGCAAACAGCGCAATTATATCAACCAATAAAAATATACATTGGAAACTTTAGCAACCAATGAAAATGGAGGTGGATTTTTATATTGACTACATTGATATTGTAGGGATGGCATAAAAAACACACAACAAAATGTGTCAGTTCATCAAAGTGAGGCTTTTCCGTTTTTGCGTATTGCAGAGTTATCTTCTCTTGTGAGCAGGTATTGATTGTTACGTCATTGGTTTGTGTGAGAAAATTACGTCATTTTCTCAAAAATTGATGACGTTACTCTCACAAACAAATGACTTAACAATCAATACCTGCTCACAAGAGCAGATAACTCTGCAATACCCAAAGACGGAATACAGAGGTCACCAAGGTTTAAAGTCATTCCAACAGGGGTTGGTCGACCAAGTCCTGTTTCCTATACACACACTGAAGGTCATTCCCATGAAGACTCGAAACCAATTTTCATAAGAATGTGGACTCAGCTTAGCTTAGCTGAAAATTCCACTGATTTAAACAACACTTCTTGTAAGACACACATTTCATATGTTGGTAGAGGTGTCAATTTCTGAAGATATCTGCTGAAGCCACAATGATGTGTGCACATAAACTTTTAGAGTGTCGATTACAGATCCTCGGAAAACGACAGAGTACTACTGGCCGACAGAGGGAAGTTGACCGAGACCCCCTTCCGGGGAACACAAGTAGTGGTACGACGAAGATTCACACCCTCTTCTCCGTAAGTATCAGAGAGATTCTTGGTAGACTTGACACGAACACCTGTCAAGCAAGAAAAATGAATATTCATGAGCAGAATTGAATCGATGATAAACTTGTGGTGTTTTTTTTGTTATTGTTAATCACCTATGTTCCAGACAATAAGTTTTCTATCTTCAAATTCCTGAATAAGTCTTGTTTGTTCATAAATAATTTGCCTGTGTAATAGATTATATAGGTCTGTCTTTGTTCATAAATGGTCTGCCTGTATAATATATATTAAAACAAGTAGTGTGTATAAATCCACACACAAAATTAAGGTCTTTGAAATAAGCTTATACAGAGGTGATTTACAGAAAGATTTCATTGATGTAACATTATAATTACCATGTACACGAATGATAACGACACAATCAACAAAGAAATACATATACAATGATAATTGCATACAACTGGCTTGATGACATCCAACCTTGTTTTTAAAAATATGTGTGGTTTAATCATTTAACTGGAGCAGCAACATCAAATATGATCAATTTTTCTCCTTGCCTTGGTTTCATTTCAGCTGTTTTTATAAAGGGACATCAAGGCTTAATGATCAGTTGAAATTAAATACAAATTACTTAAAAATTTAGGACAGAAATAACTGCTTTAGGTAACACTAAAATGGTCAAAACAAAATACAACTCATATTAATAACCCTAGTTCATTAACATAGCGAAAACACATGACAACCAGTTCTGTGTAACATGGGGCAAAAACACATGACAACCAGTTCTGTGTAACATGGGGCAAAAACACATGACAACCAGTTCTGTGTAACATGGGGCAAAAACACATGACAACCAGTTCTGTGTAACATGGGGCAAAAACACATGACAACCAGTTCTGTGTAACATGGGGCAAAAACACATGACAACCAGTTCTGTGTAACATGGGGCAAAAACACATGATAGCAAGGGCAGTACAAAAGGATAAAAAACATAAATTTAGGTTTTATATAATGGGGAAAAAAATGACCAGGTTTGCAAAACATGATGGCAAAAACAGTCTGTGCAACTGGGTAAATCCCGATAACCAGGCCTGTAGAATTACTGGGCAAAACCGACTAGGTCTGTTAAAAATAAGGGGACAAAAAACATGAAAACTAGGTCGGTACAACAGGCAAACACATGACAACTATGTCTGTACAACAGAGCAAACACATGACAACTAGGTCGGTACAACAGGCAAACACATGGCAACTAGGTCTGTAAAACAGAGCAAACAATACAACTAGGTCTGTACAACAGAGCAAACATGCCAACCAGCTCTGCAAAACAACATGACAACTAGGTCTGTACAACAGAGCAAACACATGACAACTAGGTATGTCCAACTGAGCAAACACATGACAACTAGGTCTGTACAACAGAGCAAACACATGGCAACTAGGTATGTACAACAGAGCAAACAATACAACTAGGTCTGTACAACAGAGCAAACACATGGCAACTAGGTATGTCCAACTGAGCAAACACATGACAACAATTCTGTACAACAGAGCAAACAATACAACTAGGTCTGTACAACAGAGCAAACACATGACAACTAGGTCTGTACAACAGAGCAAACACATGGCAACTAGGTATGTCCAACTGAGCAAACACAAGACAACTAGGTCTGTACAACAGAGCAAACACATGACAACTAGGTATGTACCACAGGACAAACAACTAATCTGTATAACAGTGCAAAAACATGTGAGAATCTGGTTTGAATAACAAGAGGACAAAAAGACATGACTTCCAGATCTTATACAACAAGGCTGAAGCAAGCTCAGTTACATATTATTTTTACCAAACAAAAACGCAAAGTTGTAATTTTGCGATGTAACTGCCCTTTAACATTTCTTTTTATAAACTATGTATTAAAGTACCCTATGGCTTACATGGTAAAGATTTCATGAGACTATGTTATGTTTATCACCAAACCTTCAGATACGAAGTTGTAAAGTAACTGTAGGACAAACAGACAATACTACAACATAAAGTTGTAAAGTGACTGTAGAACAAACAGACAATATTACAACATAAAGTTGTAAAGTAACTGTAGAACAAACAGAACAGTCATTCATCTCAACAATGATGATTTTTGTTGATGCAGAAGTAACTAAGCATTCAAGCAAAGAATGACATAAAAATGAACTTGATAGGGTATTAAGGTAAAACACAAAATAATCTTAAAGAATTTAATGAAGTAACAAAAAATTGGCGATCTGTTTAGTGATGAACGATGCAGCACTCAACTGAAATCTCAAGTATGCATAAAAGAAATCAGAACAAAACACTGGTAAGACTAAAATTATTACTAAACATTTTATCAACCAAACAATATTCTGTAAATAGAAAACTTCACAAAAACAGCTCTTTTAAATATTTAACAGAAGAAAAACAATAAAAAAAAGAAATGCATCATTCCAAACAAAGGGTTGATGTGTTGAGTTACCTCCCATGTTGATCAGAGCGACATTATGCTGCACTCCATCAGATTTGCGTACATTGGATTGGTGGTTAGACATAGAGAACCTACAGGTACCAATAACATCACTCACAGAACATGTACCAGGCTCTTACACAAATCTTCCTTCTATCTATCTTCCTTGTTTCTTTTTTTAATGTATATAAAAACCTAATTACACATTTACCAATTTGAACTGCTCTGTCAGATATAGTTCGTATATTTAGGTCTAAATTTTTTAATAAAAAATACATTGTACATGTGTTTCTGCTAATCCAACCAACCATTTACTGTTCTGTCAACTGCGATTTTTCCCCTTGATATTTTAAGAGATAAAAAAACTATTAAAGTTAGTTTTCTTTTATGATGTAACCTTGTTAAAAAGCTATTGAAAATATATGCAATTCCTGACTATCCTACCCTATTTTACTTTAAATTGTCTGCAGATTTTTTTCCCATGACCTATCATTTGTAAATTCTGATTTTTCTTACTTTAATACTTAAACACTGGAAATCACTTTATTTTTGAGAGTGGTCAAATTTCACATTAATTCCCATTGACTCATTCACAAATTTCAATATTAAGCAAATATTTAATCTATAAATAATAATTATTAATATTGAAATGCAATTGAAAATTCAATTATTCATGAAAACAAATCTACAGACAAAAGTTTGTAAAATAAATTACACATGAACTTAAAGTTATTTCCAATACCATTTATTTGATCAAACATATAAATTATCCTAACATTTCTTGTATCAAACTACATTAACATTAGCACCAGAATTGTATGTATATCATTGTTCTTTATCTTATGAAAGCTTCCTTCACACTTTACAACATTACATGTTAGTTTACTTACTACTGGACTTGTTGCGTTGGAATTTTTTTGTTTTCGCTCTCCGTGCTAAGGTTTTCCTGGCATGTATCGTGTTTTTCACAATGAGGGGTTTGTCAGAGTCAATGCTGGCCTCATTTACGAGATCCTCAAAAAATCCTACAACACAAGCAGACTGCATAACAGAATGTAAAGACCGTATCCAGTTTAATGGCGTTTATTCAGATATCCAAGGTTCATCAATGTAATAGGAGCGGCAAAATGTACAGCCAGACTGGGATTTGAACCCAGGACCCTCGAAGCTCAGTAGACGCTCTGCCAATTGAGTTACTTGGTCGCCAATGATTGACCCACCCCAGTTCTGCTACATTAATATCAAACTAGAGGTAAAACCTGAATTCTTTATTTCAAAATTTGCAGATTTGCAAAAACTTTAGGGATTAACTTTTCCATCTTTCATGTTTGAAATAAACTCATTGGCTTTTCAAGAACAAAAAATTGCACACAGTCTATTTTTTGCATATATCAACAGCAAAAATGTGGACCCCCGAAAGAAAATCTAAGTTTTACATTGTGTTCAGCTGGCTAGTAATATTACGTTTGAGTTTATTGACGTTGACCACCATTTCCTCCTTGACATCCTGTTCTATGTGCGGAGTCTGAGACACTACAGCACAGGACAGTTTCTGTAACGAGTTGTCTGCATCTTTCAACTTCCTTTCTGCATCTAGTCTGGCCATTACCTCCTCCTGTCAACACCAAACGCATAAAGATCACTGACTAGTCAATGTCCAAGGTCAGAAACTGACTAATCTGTGTGTCAAGGTCAAACACTGACCAAACATTTCAAAATCAAATACTGACCAATCAGTGTTTCAAGGTCAAACACTGACCAATCAATATTTCAATATCAAATACTGACCAATCAGTGTTTCAAGGTCAAACACTGACCAATCAACATTTCAACATCATACTGACCAATCAGTGTTTCAAGGTCAAACATTGACCAATCAACATTTCAAGGTCAAATAATGACGAATCAATGTACCAAGGCCAAACAATGGCCAATCAATATTTCAAAATCAATCAATGATCCATGTTAAAAAATATTCCAATATCAAGAAAATGTAAAATTTATTTTTTTAAATTTGAAATTATACTTGTTTGATATGAAGATTCTATGTGATTTTGTTTAAGCAACTGTTACAGAAGGAAATAAATGAATTGTTTCGAATTCAAAGTGAAACTACATAAATTCACTTTTTGCACCCCATGATTAATTTGAAGATTCAGAATGTTAAATAAATATCCCACATTAGCAAAAGAACCACAACTCACTTACCTTTAATTCTGCTTCAGTCATTTCTTTCTGTACCTTTAGATCCTATAATTATAATTAATATATTTTAGGAAACACAAGAAAAGCTCACTGTGTCTGTTATCATGACATCCGTTGCTGTAGTCCCTGGGCCATAATTGAACATACTAAATTTTAAGCTATACAAGGCGTATATGGAAAAACTAATCCCCCTGTTTAGTTTGGGAGTTACATTGCTTGGAGATACATAATTTAAGTTAACCCCCCAGAGGATGGTTTCTTCCTTGTGTTCTGTCTAGGGGACATTGAAGAAACAAAGAATAGAGAATAGATCTGCTGTATCCCACTGCCAGTCATGATGTGTATTGTAAAATGCCACGTTTGTTTGGCCCCCTGACAGAACTGGGGGGTTTCATCTGTGTCTTCTACTAGGAGGACATTAAGTCACCTACACCTTTGACTAACTTTTTTAACTCAAAAATAATCCAGATGGTGCCCTGATCAAGAAAGTCATAACAATGACAAGGCTTTTACTTGAACTTTTACCTCCCATTGGTGGATTTTCTTATCTTTCATGCACTTATATAGAAAGTGCAATTTCCTTTCAAATCTTTTCTTTCACTGACAAAAGTCAACTATCAAGTAATAATGAAATTCTTGAATCGCAGTAAACTATAATATTCTCATCCCACCAAATTGACAACCACTTAATGTTTTGAAACAAATTTTCTCAATGTTGAATTCCCCAATATAAACTTACAGGTATGAGGTACTGGTATCTCTAATAGTATTTTGCTCTTATCTAGGACATAAAGTGAGCAAATAAAACCAAGGTAAAAATTATTAGTGTATCTCCCAATTTGTTTGCACAGGTAAGGGAGACTATATTCCTAGCACATTGAGCTTAAATTCAAGTCAATTTACCTTCAAGGACTCCTTCAGCTCCTCTGCATGCCCACTGATGAACTGCTTTTCCTCCTCTAAATCCCGAGCTCTCTGTTCATTCTCCTTCATTCTATACACAAATGATACACAGGAATTTATCATTACCCTTTACAACATCCATTTCTAATAATGGCCTCTTTTGACCGTGGGATTGACAGAATTTGAAAAAATATTTCAGACATGTTTCTTGTAATCGTTTACTGGTCCTTCATTCAAGTCATTCAAATTTCAGCATGAAGCTGAAAAAGCCTCATGAATCTATGAGTAATTTCACAAATTATATAGGGCGCTATATAAAGGTTGTATATAATTATTATTATTTATCATTATGAGCCTTAATAACTAATCTTAACTTTTCAACCCGAAAAATTCGGATTTTGTATCCATAAATTTAAGGGTTTTCAAAAGTAACCCTGAGGTATTGCTATTTTAACCAAAACATATCGGGTATATATGAGCCACACTAACTTTTCCTCAGCGTGTGATTTCTCACGAAGAAGTTCTTTGGTCTGGAACTCAATGAGTTTGAGTGTAGATGTTAGTTCCTCTTTGGTGAGAGCTAGACTCTGGTTCTCCTCCGTCAATTTCTGCTGCGAACTCTGCTGGGAATGTAATGTCTCCAGGATCTTCACCTTCTCCTCACTCAAACTCTGATACAACACAAAACAACAAAATAATTCGCAACTTGATCCTAGACACAAAGGAGATTAATTTTATGTCTTAAATATTTCACCCTTTCATTTTATTTGTGGATTGAAAAGTCTGTATAAAACCAACAAAGTCATGTCCTTTTTTTTCGCTTTAAACACTTTTATTATTTTTCCTGTGTTCCAAAGAGTACACTAATCGGATCTAGAGCCAGAGCAATCAAAACTGATTCAGAATTCTCTATCCTTGACAGCATATTTTTTTATGTATCGTATATCTTTCCTTCTCATGATCAGTTTTCAACAAATGATGCTTTCAACTATCATATGAAATTGTTTATTGACATGGAAACACTTCTCAAAATTTTAGAATAATGAAAATATAGTACAGTACATGTATAAACTAACAAGAATTTTTGTTTATGTAAACAAAAACATATGTCTGCCAACAGACAAACTTCGGTATTAAAAATTACCAAAGGGCCATATCTTTTTATATAGTGGAGCACGAAACCCGAATTTAGAATGCAACACTCCTACGTCCCAAGATACATTAAAACTATAGCAAGTTTGGTCAACGTAGGTGAAATAACATGAAAGTTATGCCGTGGACAAACTTCAGTATTAAAAATAAACAATGCCGTGGACAAACTTCAGTATTAAAAATAAACAAAGGGCCAAAACTCTGTATAAAGTGGGGCACGAGACCAAGTTCCAGTGCACTGCACACCTTCTGTGGGTGATGCAGGTATATTTCAACCTTCTGTGGGTGATGCAGGTACATTTCAAGTTTGATTAAGATATCTTTAATGGTTTAGAAGTTATGCCGTGGAACAATTTCGGTATTAAAAATAAACAAAGGGCCATAACTCTGTATATAGTGGGGCATAAAACCTGATTTTAGTGCAAGAGATTCCGCCTTCTCAAGATACATAAATATGGTATGTTTGGTGAACGTAAGTGACATAACATGGAAATCATGCTCCGGACAAACTTTGGTATTAAAATTAAACAAAGGACCATATATAGCGAAGCACGAGACCTAATTCCAGTGCACTGCACACCTTTTGTGGGTGATGCAGGTATACTTCAAGTTTGATCAAGATATCGTTATTGGTTTAAAATTTACGGGCCGGATAAGAATTCACTGAAAAAGTTGCACTTATTTAACCTTTGACCTTGAGGTGAAGGTCACATTGACCTAATTCCAGTGCTGTGGGTGATGCATGCATACCTAAAGTTTCATCAAGATATCTTTAACGGTTTAAAAAGTGATGGCCTGGACAAGTTGCCATTATGAGAACCAGATGAAGAAGAAGAAGAAGAAGAAGAACCACCAGAAGAAGAACCAGTACTAATACAATATGTCTCCCTTCATTCGAAGGGGAGACATAATTAGTGCCTTACCTGCAGACTTATTTGCTGCTGCTGTAGTGTACCTGATAATGCGACCCGATCGGAGTCCAATATCCTCATACATTCAGCTGTGTCCTCAAGTTCACTGAATAATATAAACAATTGTGAAGCTTTTGCAATCATTCGCATTTTCTGAATTTTTTAAGTGCCAAGGGTGTTTATAAGATAAAAAAGTAGCTTGAAAATGTATAAAATTTTGTAACCTCAGATATTGGTTTCTCTTGGGACTTCCTTCATGATCCATTTACTAAACACTTACTTTCTGATGCGTTCATATTCTTCCGTCATTTCTTGCTGGTACAACTCTAACTTTTGTTTCTCCTTTTCAAGCTCCTGGTTGATCCTCTCCAGCTCCTATCACAAGAGGTATTTTAAACTCACATATAATATGCTTAATGATTATTTTTTTCACAGTTTCAATGATCCTTTGTCAGACTGTGGATATATTACATAGAATGAAAAACTTAAGTCATTGTCAATGGATTCAACTTAATTTAATGCTAATGCTTAATATCACATTTCTGTTAATATCAAATATGCCACCATTTATCTAAATGTTTTTTATATCATGTGATCCGACATAAATTCCTGTTTTTATGATTATTAAATTCTATTGAAAACATATTATTTGCGAAAATTGTATTTTCAGGCTTTAATCAACGAAACAAAAAAATTATAACTTAAATAATCTTCTTGTAACAGTCCAAGGGCCTATTTTTCACATTAGATTGGTTAAAATGGACCAAACCACAGCCAGAGTGGTGTCTTTACTGAGTGTAGTTTACCTGATCTAGTTCTGTTACATTGTAAGGGTATATGTGAAGTATTCAACATCAGACTTCTTAAAAAGTAACATACACTAAAAGTGTTTTATCTTCACAGAAACTATCCTTTTGATTAATGTCACATTTGGCTTTATATCATATATCACCTGGTAAATGATGCATGACATTAAGAGGAATTCCCCGTATTTGTTATCATTATGTCTATGCAAACTGTTTGCCTACATTTTTAATGTTTATTTGTGAAACAGACATAGATGATAGGTGAAAGTAAATAAAACAATATTCAGTTTCTACCTCAGTTCTCTCCCTTTCATCTGATAACGCTAACACCTCAGTCTGAAGCTGATCTGGAACAAACAAACAATTTACACTGTAGATTTTTATATCAGACATAAGATGTTTTATAACAACATAAAACGGAATGATATTAACATTTAAAAATATCCAAGGATGAAGAAGATATGTATACCGGTACTAAAGGGGCTGGTCGGGGAAAAAATGTCATATTTGCTAAAATGGCATACACATGTTTAAAATACCTCCTTATGAAATATACCGATTCAAATTTTGCTGAAATTCACTCCCTTAGAGTAAAAATTATAATTATATTAAAGAAATCCTAATTTGTCACCTGACGTCTAAAACTCTCAATTGACCCAGATCAGTGTTGTAATTTTCCGCACACGCGTCATCAACAAGGCCAAATGTAAACATCGCGGCGAAAGAAAAAGATGCATGCAAAAGTCATGACAGGCACGAGGTATCAATACCGTTATATATAACATCAACATATAGGTAGGACTACTACACGTGCATCATACATGACCTTTGAAAACAATTATTTACGTATAGTATTGCTGTCTTGTCCGCTAGTTGAGACCGACATGGCCCATGACGGCGTGCTATTTTTGTTATCTTCACTGCCTCACTTTTGAAACAACCACGTGCCATATATAAATAGATCTGCGCTAAATTTACGCGGGGCTTCCCCGAGATTTCAGTGGTCAAAACTGGACATTGCAAGCGGAACTCGACCATCATATTGCCGTGGTTTAACTTTTGGAAGGCCAGAGAACGCATTTAGACCCATTTATTTTGTATTTTTTTCCCCCACCAGCCCCTTTAAGAATATAACCCCTGGATTTTCAAAGTTGGTATATTTAATTCCTTATTGCACATACTTATTATAGAATTAACTCTGAAAGATTTCAACAGTTATCCAGTAATCCTTCGTTCTTGTACACGGTATACTGACAACATTCATAGTTCTTAAATTTGCCTCTATATACAACCAAGAACATCAGTGGAGACAGCTACGATGTACCAATTAATTATGCTACTGCTGCTGGAGATCGACTTTTGACTTCAGCTTCTACATATCAGCTGACTGTGAAAGTTTGTATGAAAGAACTTTGTAACAGTAAAAGTGAGAAGAGAAGTTGCCAAATTTGATATAAATCTGAGACAAAGTGGAAGTGTAGGTACTGAAATAGTCTTGCTTCTGTTTTGCCATCTGTAAGCCCTGATCCTCCAACTGTCGAATGATGTTGTCTGCAAGCTGAGCATGCTTCCAAGTTCTGTGTAAAAATAGTTTTATGATATTATAACAACTTTTCTGCAAGAAATATCACAATCAAACTCAAGAATGTTTATATAATAATGTTATTACTGTGTGCCGGGAAACTTTTGCCTAATTTTCGTCCTTTACTGGTAAATGCATATTTGCCCGGCGTTAATTTCATTCTTCACATGGAATTACTATGCAAAGTAAGGTGTAAACTATTATTCGCTGCCAAGGCAAATTTGCTCCCATTATGGAGGACGAAAAAAGTGAAAATTAAACTTTAACGAAAATTTCCTGGTATACAATATTTCAGCTAAACAATATTTACAAAACATTGGCAATGAAGCTAAAAATTGTAAGCTTAAGAATAAAGAAATTGAGTGAAACAAAGATTAACCAAGTGATCAATGAAGCAGGAAATATAGGTCACAGTGACCTTCAGTTCGCTCTACTGTATATATGTAAAGTACTCCTCAACATGAACCCACATGTATGTAAGTTTGATGTCTCCTGGACTACTATTAGAGCTATGGAGCTCAACACAAAGTCTAATCAAGATGTCATCAAGACCAATGGAAAAGACAAACATTAAATGCCCATTCCACTACATTCCAAAGATATAAAAAGTGGTTCTGAACAATCTACATACAACTAAACTCATACAGAATGCATTGTCATATTCCAAGATCACTGGATGTTTTTCTCTAATTTACATGTAGTTTAACAGTCTCAAATTATAGTAGAAATTAACTGTCAATCTTTTATATCTATATTTATAACCACATCTTACGGCTTTAAACACATGCTACTGCAGCAGGTTGTTAACCATATTAAATGTACTATGTAAAAGAATATTCAGGTTTTTGATAACGTTAGTGGGAGGTGAATGGGAAACAGTACTTACATTCGCTTTGACTTTTCAATCATGTCGATCCATTTATCTCTTTCAAAACTGCTGTCTGCAGCCAAAAGCATCCTTCCCTGTGTTATATAAAAACCAATCAAGTTATTAACAACTTACAATAACTATGAACCCTTGTGCTACATATAGATATCAAGTTGACAAATTGCAATCAACTTTTACACCTACGTTAGGAGTAGATATAAACTTGATCATTATGTCATCCACATCAAAACAATTCAGCATCATTGTATCCTCATCCTCCCTTCTCTGCATATGAAAAACACACATGTCCCATGTGGAACACCCTTGATGTTGCAATCAGATGACAGCTTTATCAACCTTACAACTGAAAATGTGTCAAAGCATTGTTTGAATGACTGTGGCCATAGGCAAGTAATAATAATAATAATATACAACATTTATATAGTGCCCTATATCATTTGTAAAATTACTTTAAAGCGCTTTACAACATATGGATAATAGTATTAGTCATAATTGTGAAACCAAAAAAGGCTTACAATCACTTGTATACATTAAGCAAGCAGATAATCGTCGCAATGTGCACATAAATGAATAAATAAAGGGTGGTATTTACATGACGTCTTTGCAATGAGACTAACATGCAGCCGTGAACAGGTGAGTTTTGATGTCCTTTTTGAATTTGGTGACAACACCTCAAGAATATAAAATTGTTGTACAAGTGTTTCTTGAAGGTCTTGCATGGATGTGTAAATTTGTAGAATCATTTACAGCTCGTTTCAAATATAGTCTTAGTTTGTGTATAAGTTATCTAGATTTGTTTTTGCAATATTTAGTGTTGCACTTGCATTCAATGTTTATATCCTGTTTTACCCAAGTTTAGGTGAACAGGTGGGAGAAAAAAAGTCAATCATTAGGTACATATGCAGGATATAGATGTTCTACCAGAGGGTGTAGAGTTTGGATCAGAACAAAGGCCTTGAGATTCTGGCCTAATTTCTACACCCTCGGGTAGACAATCTATATCCCACATACTTACATATATGATAGACTCTGTTAATCCAGGCAAAGATTACAGGACTGAAAACAGCTGGACAGTGGATACTGATGAATTTTGACCTCTGTATATATGTACATGGCCTGTCGTTTCTGAAAGCTGAATTTAAATTCTCATCCACAACTCACAGGTAATAAAAAAAAAATCATAACATTTCACAGCCATAGTTTCATACACCGGCATCGTAAAGTTTGTAGCTACTCTTATTTATTATACATACACATCTGTATATTAAAAGGATTTCTATTTTCATATCTATACTCAATAGTATCTCCAGCAAACTGAAACAGGAGATTCACACGTAAACTTACATGAATATCTGCACTGTCCAGGTAAAATGCAAATGGCTGTCCTTGTTCTCGTGACTGAGTTACACTGCACTCTCCTAACGGTATGATTCCCTGAAAATAACGACAGGATACACTCATGTTAGTCACAAATCAACACATAAAAGATTAATTTTTACAAGGTCTCTACAGTAAACACCTGGTCAGTTTGTACACATCTTGAGAACGTTGAAATATCAACTAGAATACAGGTCAGCAAGCTACCCCGCTGTATGCCTGACAATGTATCTCCCATATACAACAGGGTTTGGACAGTATATGCCCTGTTCTATTTTAAAGTAACGGCAACATTGACCTTCAAAACTTTTTAAAGCCCTATTGCACATGTACCATCTTGTGAAATTTCAGAAATTTTGGCCTTCTGTAACGGCCTTATGATGTATTATTATATTCCTGTTTCTGTTTTTTAGTAACAGCGACCTTGATCTTAGGAATTTTCTAAACCCCTATTTAACATCTGCACATCACAGTGTATCACCATGTGAAATTTCAGAAATTTTGGCCATCTGGATCATGAGATAATCTCCAGAAACAAAAGTGCTGACGGACAGACAGACAGAGAGATGGACACCGTGATTACTATAGGGCACCCACATTTTGCGGGGCCCTATAGCTATATAATAAAGGCAGAAAGAAATAGGCATGTCCTGTTTGAGATGATTAGTTCTAGAATTTGGTCATACAGTTTTAGAATTTACCATAACTATGCTGGTACTGTAAATCATATTTTGACGATGTTTTTTTTTTTATGTGGACCCTTCTGGAATACCTGGGCACATAAGCCTTTAGTCTCTTAAAATTTCTTCTAAGTCATTTACAAGAAAAATGATTTTATTATCAATTTATAAACGAAACTAAAATTAGACTTGAGCACAAAAATCCATGCTTGAGCATGACAACAATTTCATGAATTTGGTCTTATTCTCCTTGTACTTTTTCAAAGGTTTCCATAAAAATCTCTTTCTATTTTGTATATTCTGCTGTCGTTTTGCATCATTTTGGGCTCGAGTTGCGGTATTGTTAATAATTTGTTATTCTCTTTGGGTCTTTATTATGGTATTTGGTTATAGTATTTGGATCCCCTGACTGTGAATTTTTGTTGGATTTGGTTTAAATTTATATGTATTTTGTATGTTTTAAACAAGAGGCCCGGAGGGCCTGTATCGCTCACTTGGATATCTAAGCAATCAAGGCAAAATATTCTCCTTATAAGATCCAAGGGAATGGGCCAGACCCCTAGGCCAATCCTTGTAGCATATCTGTATTAGATTTTTCATACCCAGCAGTTTCATGTATTGTTATTTGGTCGGGATCTCAACTGTTTCCAAACTGTGACTCAGAAACTAGGTCCCTACGGTTATGGCAAGATCCTAAGATTAATTATAATATCATGACTGCATTTGTCTCTTTATGACCAGCATTTGTATACATAGTTTTGGGGTGGGGATCTCAACCGTTTCAAGTTTATGACCCAGGGGTTAAGTCTGCAAGTGTGGGACAGACCCTGGGGCAATTCTAATATCATGACTGCATTCGTCTCTTTATGCCCAACAATTGTATATATTGTTTTGGGGTGGGGATCTCAACCGTTTCAAAGTTATGACCCAGGGACTATGTCTCCAAGGGTGGGGCCAGACTCCAGGGCCATCCTGGAATCATATGTGTACTCTTCTCTTTATACTCAGCAATTGTATATATGGTTATAGGGTGGGGATCTCAACCATTTCCACGTAATAAACTAGTTTGACCCCATCCCTTAGCCTGGGGGTCAGCCCCACCATTTGTACAATTTTGAATCCTGCCTCCCAGGAATGCCTCTGACCAAATATGACTGATATCCAGTCTATAGTTCTACAAGTCCTTTATAGCAATATAGCCAAATTACCCACTTTTGGCCCCACTTTTCAGCTCCCTGAGGGGTCAGCTCCACCATTTGTACAATTTTGAATCCCAACTACCTAGGGATGCTTCCAGTCAAATATGGTTGATATCCCACTATTAGTTCCAGAGAAGAAGTCGTTTATAGCAATATAGCCAAATTACCCACTTTTGGCCCCACTTTTCAGCTTCCTGAGGGGTCAGCTCCACCATTTGTACAATTTTGAATTACCACCACCTAGGGATATTTCCAGTCAAATTTAGTTGAATTCCAATCAGTGTTTAAGAAGAAAAAGTCGTTTGAAGAAATTGTTGACGTACGGACAACATACGCCACGGTATGGCATTAGCTCACCTTGATCCTTCGGACCCGATGAGTTAATAGGCCATTCCAAATTAACAAATGATGCGACTACAGATCTTTAGATGAGTGTTTGTTAGGCTATGTGTCTTATGTTATGGTTTGAGTGCACGCATACCTTGGGATGAATGTTGATACAATTTCGCTTTTCCATCTCCTTTTTTTCACTCTCCTGATAGTAACATAGAAAACCATCTCGAATAATGAAATATCTGAAATGATAAAAAACATTGTTTGTTTTAATGCTTGATCATATAAAGCCATGAATATTCAAGCCGCCATTGTTTCTACAAAAACAAAGACAAAGCTCCTCTGTAAAATTTAAATTTTAAATTTATACTGATTTCATTTTTTGACCAGGTTTCCAGATTACAATGAAGTTTTCAGATTCTCCAAATATCCAATAGTCTGGGGACTTGATAAGCCTTAATGATATCTATGCTTAAAACATCAGAATATTTTACATGTTTAGTTACATTCAGACTGTTAGACCTTTAAAATTCTGGGCCTCTGAAATAAGAACTGACATTTCACTGACAGTGATGCATGAGTCTACTTTTTTGGAGCTTTTGGTGTCTCGAACCCTCAGAATATTGAACCCATAGGTACCAAATTTTCAGATTTGTTGGGCACCAGAATACCAGCAGAAACAACAGAAACCTATTTTAGGGAGTTCATGCAATACAGTGTAAAATTGTTTCCAGTAATGTTGCAGAAAAGTTTTACATAGCAAATATCATGTGCATGTCTCATAGTAATGTTTTTAAAAGGTCTTTTACATATCAAGGTCCATATACATATAAAAATGTATATGGAATAGTTTACCATCATATACAAGTACAGAACTGCAAAAGTCTTTTATCTTTTCAGAAATGTGCCAAACAGTATTTTATGGGATAAAAACATGTATGCTCATCATTTGTGTAATTTGTGTAATTTAGCACATTATTTATCTAATAGTTGTATAGTTAAAATTGTGCTCATCACTTGTGTAATTTTTAGAACATTATTTATCGAACTGTTGTATAGTTAAAATGTAATACCTGGGCTGACCGTGCTGGTAAGCTCGGGTCATCGTTTCATTTAGAGCTGTTTCTGTGATAATAGTGGATTTAAAATGTACATGTAAAATTATCTTACCAATTTACCATTCATAGTACTATTTTATCATGTACATTTTTTAATATGCTTGACCATATGAGAGACGAGTCTTTGACTCAATATGTATTATTATTATCATTATTGTACATTTATAATCAAAAGTCTGGAGAAACCTTGTTGTTCTTCAAGATACCAGTGCAACTTTTTTTTTGTGAAAAAAGAAACAATAATTAGATTAATTATTATTACTGTTTGCTAAGGTAAATGGGCAAGCACCTCAAAGTCTGGAAAATACTGAACCAATTAGAACTCTTATTTGTTGGATAAACAACAAAGTGTGCTGGTATAATCTACCTTAACAGTGTAATAGATAGCACCAATACAGCAGTGTCAAATGTTCCTCCCAATGGAGGTCTTGTGTTTAGAAAGATAGCACGGACTTCCCTCTGGTCCGTGTTATCTTTCACACATATAGATTAGCCTGCGAAATGTGTCCCTTTACTTTTATCATATTGTACAGCATAAACATTTAATCATCTAATGATGTATCCTGATCACCATTTTAACTGTATGATGTGTGTAATGTCTTTACAATGCTGTATCATGATACTGCATACTATATATGGTTTTTAGTCCACTGAATATATACAAACAAAAAGAATATGTACTGTTTTAGCTAAGTTATATCACTTCAGGAAAATTTTAACTTATATTTTAAAAAATCGCTTTGTACTAAATGCATCACATTTCAGTAATATAGTTTAAAACTGTTAGTATTACACTATAATTATACATATATACATTTTAGAAAAAAACAAGAGGCCCAGAGGGCCTGTATCGCTCACCTGTTTCTTTTGTTACATGCCACTGACATATAGGTAACTTAAGACCATTTGGTAACTAGAACACAAGACATTTTAACATCTCTTAAACGGTTCTGAAGATATTGTTGTTTGAAACTTAAAATTTTAATTTTAAAGCTTTTAACCCATATTGACCTTTGAATCCCGATTTGCACTTTAAGTTGACCTTTGACCTCATTACTGTAATAAAGAAAACAATTCACACAGCTGGTCTACATAACATACCCAAGTATCATGACTCTAGTCCAAATGGTTCTTAGAATATTGTTGTTTGAAACTTAAAATTTTAATTTTAAAGCTTTTAACCCATATTGACCTTTGAATCCCGATTTGCACTTAAAGTTGACCTTTGACCTCATTACTGTAATGAAGAAAACAATTTGCACTGCTGGTTTACATAAAATACCCAAGTATCATAACTCTAGTTCAACTGGTTCTTAGGATATTGTTGTTTGAATTTTTTAACATATTTAACCACTGTGACCTTGAAAGTAGGTCAAGGTCATTTTAATGAAGAAACTTTATAGCACTCCATCCCAGGTATCAACTGGCCAAATATCAAGACCCTGGGCCTTATGGAACTTGAGAAGAAGATTGTTAAAGCCTTTAACCAAAGTTGACATTTGACCCCCGACTAGCATTTAAAGTTGACCTTTGACCTCATAACTGTAACTGAAAAAAATATTCGCACTGCTGGTCTTCATAACATACCGAAGTATCATGACTCTGGTTGAAATGGTTCTTAGGATATTGTTGTTTTGAAATTTTTAACATATTTAATCACTGTGACCTTGAAAGTAGGTCAAGGTCATTTTAATGAGGAAACTTTATAGCACTCCATCCCAGGTACCTACTGACCAAATATCATGACCCTAGGTCCTACAGTTCTTCAGAAGTTGTTCAAAAGAAAAAGTTGGCGGACGGACGACGGACGCCGCAGTACGGCATAAGCACACCTGGCCCGAAGGGCTAATAAATATTGATGAATTTGAGACATTTCCTGTTAGTTTAACTTAGTTACCAGGCAGTTCAGGAAAGGCCTGCTTTGTAAAGGTAACAGTATAAATATGGTATTTTTATCATTTTTTTCTTGAAAACATGCTAATTGGCTAAAACACACTACATTGATTGATTTGTATGTATAAATTTTGGCAAAAAAATCACAACTTTTGACCAGCAGTATCACTGTATGTTTGTCATATTGAGTAATTCTTTTATAGTTCTGAAGAAGCTCACTGTTCGGGCGAAACCGGTAGACATACCTAATAAAGAAGATTCAACTTATCCTGAGCTTTTTGCGATTGACACCTATTCTTAGTTTCCCTATTCTTCAATCGCCCTGCATACTGGTTGGTATCCAGGCAAGGGATAACGAAACCCACCGAACCTGAACTACAATAACGGCGTTGGCTCTACTCCTGGATCGATCATATATATATTTAATAGAACCGTTTCTGAAACGAACAACTACTATAGGGAAACCTACTGAATTATGTGTAAATTCTGCACATCCCGGAAGAATCTGATGTTGATAAGCTGTGTATTAGAATGTAGAATTTACTTCCTGTAATATGTGTCCACTTGAGTGTCGTATTGACAGCTGACTAGTAATAAATAACCCCCTGACCAGAAACCACTGATAAAATCTACCCTATATTTACCTTCAAATATTCACCATGCAGTCACAAACATTCTTTTGTCTCCCTGATAAAATCCACACTATATAACGTTATAATGTATCTTTCTTTATCAGTGCTTTATGAGTACATTTATTTATAATATTTAGAATTTTTCTAACTTGGCAACCTGCCTTCTGGTGCATTTTGTCAGCTACAACAAGATCAAATCTACTTGTGCTATTTTTTCAAGAAGCTTTCAGTTTTTATTTTATTTTTTATTTTTGCAATGATGATTAATCTTCAATCTTTGATCAAGAGCACTGCAGTGTGCACGGTGTCAGAAAGTGGTGCCCAGTAGCTTTCAATAATTAAGATACTTCAAGATAAGGTATATATTGTAAATATGCCAATTAAGGTTCATTAATAGGTGCATTCAGAATTTAATAAAACAGCTATTTTTGTATCACATCAATGTATTTTGTAAGTGTCTGGACTGTTTAATTTGAATTTAACATATACTGTGCTTTACATAAACAACGTCTGTGTCTTATGCAATAATCTTGAACCTTATAATCACAGTTAAATATTTGGGTCCGAGATTGTCTGAATGGTACTGTAACTGATTCACCCCTGAAATTTCAAAATGAACTATTCCAACCTTTAAATTGGAAGAGTTTAAATTTGTCTGCAGGGGTGAATGAGTTAATGTAGTTACCTACAATGGACAAATACTATCTAACAAAGATCCACAATTTATAGTATTTGCCCATTTTACGTACCTACCACATTTAAGTACCATTCATTAACTCCCAGACCCAAACAGAAAATGATATTTCCAATAACAGCAAAAATTAAAAAACAGGCTGGCGCAGAATAAAACTGGATATAAAAGTTAAGAAAGGGGGTGCCAGAGTGGGGGTGTAGGTTGGGGAAGGGGTGGAGTGGGGACAGGGCCGTTCCAGGTGTGTCCATCCGATCTAGAGTTCCATATCAGAGATGGATGGTGAATAGAGAGAAACAAGTCATATTAAGTTGTGGTTCAGTATGATTTATAACTTTTAGGTTGTGGTTGAATACTACAAGCATAGAATTAGATTGGAGGGAAAGGCAACTGCATCTTTTGGCATAGGAAATAATTTACAATTTAAGTTATAGTAAGTTTTACCAGTTCATTCACTTAAAAACCATATTTTCTGATACACAGATAAAATGAATATATTGAATTTTTAAATCAACAACACTTATAAAACATATCTACATGAATAGAATTAATGTATTGATTTTTTAAATCAATAACACAAAACTGAGTGACATTCTTGGGTATCCGTAGCCAGATTATTTTCATACGTAAACTATTGATTAGACACGATCGTAAAGAGGTCAGTGCACTGCATGACTTGAGCACGGTACTATAAGCATCACTGTTTCAGCAGCTGTAACATACACAGACATAAGCGCCAGCATCAGTATCAATACCATCAGTGCGTACATCGGTAACATTCGACCGACACACACTAACTGTAAAAAGCTCTACGGCCTAGGAAGGTCAATCCCTAAGGGAATTTCTGAAATACCCGGAAGTCATCTCGGTCCACTGACTTCATTAAAACAACGTATCTTTTACATTAAATAAGGAAATAACTTGCCTTTTCGCCCACTTGTTTGACTGGTGGTTGAACGGTCTTTTATACAATATCCCGGCCAACTGGACCTTCGATGTCCATTCGCCTGACCGCGAGTTTCTCTCTGGCATACTGTTCATGGCGGGTGCCTCATAACTGCAGTGGTGCCTTGAATGGGACACACAACACACCGATCCCAAACAATCCATCGGCTGACACCTCTACCGCGACCGCTGAACTTCCGTGTGACAATTTTCTTCGACAGTGCTCGGATTTTATCGTTAGAAATGATGCACTGGCATGTAACATTCCGAAATACATCAAAAAATGGCGCAAACATTTTGAAATATATGTCGAAGTACATTTTGTTTTGCTAAGTTGTTCGTAGCAGTGGCGTAGTTAATAAACACTGTTTAATTGAGTGTGATCACAATGATGATAATGATGAGCTATATGTTAACTTATTTCAGAGTACTAAAGGTAACCATACTACAACTTTTATATTTAACCGCCGTGGAACCCGGTGCCAAATAATAGTCTACTGTCTTTACTGATCAGGCCTATATCAGCACTAACACCGCGTTTTCTAGCGGAGAAATAAATAACAAGTTGCTTATAAAATGTGCGGCAAACAAAAATCACATACATACAATTGCCCCTGACTAAATTTAAGCAACGGAACCTACGTACGTAGGTGAACAGCAAATCTCTCAAGTACATTCAACCTTCAGAATGTTTTTAAGATATTTGAAACAATCAAGTTATGTAATCAGTTATTTTGTAAAGTGATATAGGCAAGAACTGAAGATATATAATATAGTGTTATAGCTATTTTTAAGAAATCACAAAATTGTAAATGTGTCATGTGGTTTTACGATGTCATGCACGTTTCATCAGGGAAAAACGTATTTTGAATGTATGCCACAGAAATCTCAACCATTTGCTTATGGCAAAACTTCGGTCAAAGGGAATAAATATCACCACTTAGTTTAAGATTTCTCTGTCAAACATTCGAGAAGCATCATCATCAAAGCAAAAGTTCTTGAGTGTCATCATTACATTCTTTATAAAAAAAACAGAGAGCGCCATAATTGGAGTGTCAATACCATATCAACCGTTCACATCGCAAGTAAAAATCATATCAAACGCTTGTGAAGCGTCAACACCATATCAACGTTCATGGAGCGTCAACATCATATCAACGTTCATGGAGCGTCAATATCATATCAAACATTTACAAAGCGTCAACACCATATCAACCTTCATGCAGCGTCAATATCATATCAAACATTTACAAAGCCCCAACACCATATCAACGTACATCGGGCGTAAACACCATATCACGTCAACACCATATCAACGTTGTTGAAGCGGCAAAACCATATCAACGTTCATGGAGCGTTAACATCATATCAACGTTCATGGAACGTCAACACCATATCAACGTTCATGTAGCGTCAATATCATATCAAACATTTACAAAGCCCCAACACCATATCAACGTACATGGGGCGTACCATATCAACATTCATGGAGCGTCAACATCATATCGAACATTCACAAAGCGTCAACACCATATCAACGTTCATAGGGCGTCAATACCATAGCAACGTTCATAAGGCGTCAACACCATATCAACGTTGCTGGAGCGTCAACACCATATCAACGTTCATGGAGCGTCAATATCATATCAAACATTTACAAAGCGTCAACACTATATCAACGTTCATGGAGCGTCAACATCATATCAACGTTCCTGAAGCGACAACACCATATAAACGTTCATGGAGCGTCAACACCATATCAACGTTCATGGAGCGTCAACACCATATCAAGGTTCATGGAGCGTCAACACCATATCAACGTTCATGGAGCGTTAACATCATATCAACGTTCATGGAACGTCAACACCATATCAACGTTCATGGAGTATCGACACTATATCAACGTTCATGGAGCGTCAACATCATATCAAACAGTCACAAAGCGTCAACATCATATCAACGTTCATGAGCGTCAACACCATTTCAACGTTCATGGAGCGTCAACACCATATCAACATTCATGGATTGTCAACATCATATCAACGTACATGTAACGTCAACATCATATCAAACATTAACAAAGCATCAACACCATATCAACGTTCATAGGGCGTTAACACCATATCAACGTTGTTGAAGCGTCAACACCATATCAACGTTGTTGAAGCGTCAACATCATATCAACGATCATAAGGTGTCAACACCATATCAACGTTGTTGAAGCGTCAACACCATATCAACGTTCATGGAGCGTCAATATCATATCAACGTTAATGGAGCGTCAACATCATATCAAACATTCACAAAGCGTCAATACCATATCAACGTTCATACGGCGTCAATACCATATCAACGTTGTTGAAGCGTCATTACCATATCAACGTTCATGGAGCGTCAATATCATATCAAACATTTACAAAGCGTCAACACCATATCAACGTTCATGAAGCGTAATCATCATATCAAAGATTCACAAAGCGTCAACACCATATAAATGTTCATGGAATGTCAACATCATATCAAACATTCACAAAGCGTCAACACCATATCAACGTTCATAGGGCGTCAATGCCATATCAACGTTCATAAGGCGTCAACACCATATCAACGTTGTCGAAGCGTCAACACCATATCAACGTTCATGAAGCGTAAACATCATATCAAAGATTCACAAAGCGTCAACACCATATCAATGTTCATGGAGCGTCAACATCATATCAAACATTCACAAAGCGTCAACACCATATCAACGTTCATAGGGCGTCAATGCCATATCAACGTTCATAAGGCGTCAACACCATATCAACGTTGTCGAAGCGTCAACACCATATCAACGTTCATGAAGCGTAAACATCATATCAAAGATTCACAAAGCGTCAACACCATATCAATGTTCATGGAGCGTCAACATCATATCAAACATTCACAAAGCGTCAACACCATATCAACGTTCNCATCAACACCATATCAACGTTCATGGAGCGTCAACATCATATCAAACATTCACAAAGCGTCAACACCATATCAACGTTGTTGAAGCGTCAACACCATATCAACGTTGTTGAAGCGTCAACATCATATCAACGTTCATAAGGCGTCAACACCATATCAACGTTGTTGAAGTGTCAACACCATATCAACGTTCATGGAGCGTCAATATCATATCAACGTTAATGGAGCGTCAACATCATATCAAACATTCACAAAGCGTCAACACCATATCAACGTGCATAGGGCGTCAATACCATATCAACGTTCAAAAGTCGTCAACACCATATCAACGTTGTTGAAGCGTCAACACCATATTAACGTTCATGGAGCGTCAATATTATATCAAACATTTACAAAGCGTCAACACCATATCAACGTTCATGCAGCGTCAATATCATATCAAACATTCACAAAGCGTCAACACCATATCAATGTTCAAAGGGCGTCAATGCCATATCAACGTTCATAATGCGTCAACACTATATCAACGTTGTTGAAGCGTCAACATCATATCAACGTTCATATAGCGTCAATATCATATCAAACATTTACAAAGCCCCAACACCATATCAACGTACATGGGGCGTCAACACCATATCAACGTTCATGTAGCGTCAATATCATATCAAACATTTACAAAGCGCCAACACCATATCAATGTTCATGGAGCGTCAACATCATATCAACGTTCACAGGGCGTCAACACCATATCAACAACATCATATCAAACATTAACAAAGCATCAACACCATATCAACGTTCATAGGGCGTCAACCCCATATCAACGTTCATGGAGCGTCAATATCATATCAAACATTAACATAGCGCCAACACCATATATCAACGTTCCTGGAGCGTCAACATCATATCAACGTTCATATAGCGTCAATATCTTATCAAACATTTACAAAGCCCCAACCCCATATCAACGTACATGGGGCGTCAACACCATATCAACGTTCATGACCATATAAACGTTCATGGAGCGTCAACACCATTTCAACGTTAATGGAGCGTCAACATCATATCAAACAGTCACAAAGCGTCAACATCATATCAACGTTCATATAGCGTTAATATCATATCAAACATTTACAAAGCGCCAACACCATATCAATGTTCATGGAGCGTCAACAGCATATCGAACATTCACAAAGCGTCAACACCATATCAATGTTCATGGAGCGTCAACAGCATATCGAACATTCACAAAGCGTCAACACCATATCAATGTTCATGGAGCGTCAACATCATATCAAACAGTCACAAAGCGTCAACATCATATCAACGTTCATATAGCGTTAATATCATATCAAACATTTACAAAGCCCCAACCCCATATCAACGTACATGGGGCGTCAACACCATATCAACGTACCATATCAACGTTGCTGGAGCGTCAACACCATATCAACGTTCATGAGGCGTCAACACTATATCAACGTTCATGGAGCGTCAACCCTATATCAACGTTCATGGAGCGTCAACACCATTTCAACGTCCATGGAGCGTCATCACCATATCAACGTTAATGGAGCGTAAACATAATATCAAACATTCACAAATCATCAACACCATATCAACGTTCATGTAGCGACAATATCATATCAAACATTTACAAAGCGCCAACTATCAACGTTCATGGAGCGTCAACATCATATCAACGTTCACAGGGCGTCAACACCATATCAACGTACCATATCAACGTTGCTGGAGCGTCAACACCATATCAACGTTAATTGAGCGTAAACATCATCTCAAACATTCACAAAGCGTCAACACCATATCAATGTTCATGGAGCGTCAACATCATATCAACGTTCACAGGGCGTCAACACCATATCAACAACATCATATCAAACATTAACAAAGCATCAACACCATATCAACGTTCATGTAGCGACAATATCATATCAAACATTTACAAAGCGCCAACTATCAACGTTCATGGAGCGTCAACACCATTTCAACGTTAATGGAGCGTAAACATCATATCAAACATTCATAAAACCTCAACACCATATCAACGTTCATAGGGCGTTAACACCATATCAACGTTCATAA